ACTATTTTTTAATATGTAAAAATTTAGTTTTTCCATGAGAATTTGTTTATAATATTTAAATTAGTTGAAAATTGACTAATTTTTAGTCAAATATTATTATTTGATTTAGTTACGTTTTTTTTTTAAATAAAGTTTTAATTTAAAATAGTAAACTAAAAATTAGTAAACATTTATACTAATAAATTTTCATTAATTTTTAATAAGTAATTTAGTAATTTATTTCTCACTAAATTACTAGAAATCACAAAAAAAATGAGTCGAAATTAGTAGAAATTTTTACTAATTTTTTTTAGAAAAATTATTTTTTTTTCGTAAAACTATTTGATTTAGTAATATTTTTTTTTGTACTCAAGTTTCAGTGAAAAATGACTAAAGAAAAGTAGAATTTTTCACTAATTGAAATTAGTGAATGAATTTTAACTAATTCAAATTTAAGACGCACTAAAATTATTATGTATTCATATTAAATTGTGTGGTACTATTTTTTAATATCAAAATTAACATAAGATTTAAAAAAAAAAAAAAAAATATGAAAGAAAAAAAGAATAGTAATTTTAGAAAAGAAATTATACTTTCTTTGTTATTTATCTGAAATTTGATAAACGAGAATTAGTGAGTCAGGTTATTTTCTTTCTATACGAAATTCTATATGTATAAATTGCTTTTTGTTAGAGATGAGAGTAACCCACGTTGGTTTCAAATAAAGTTTGAATTTGTTTCTACTCCAATACTGCTTGTCCTTTATTTTTCCTTTATTCGCTTCTGTGTTTTCCTCACTCTTAACCACAATTCTCTTTGGAACACTGGAAAAGTACTTTCATTGTTTCTATCTTTGCTTTTACAAACAATACACTTTCAAATAAAGTCTCTCGTCCCTTTGGCATTTTTTTTTCTCTATCTCTAATTTTGAAACTTTCTATTGCACAACTATTTTTATCAATAAAATCCCTGAGAATAAATACGAAAATTTGCATATTTCATCAAAAAAGAAACATTCCACAAAGTGTTAATTTTAAAAAAAAATTTTCACACTTTTTTTAACAGTAAAATTAAGAATAAGAAAAATTAATATCACAGAAAATTAAAAGGCATTAAAATAAGCTGCAACGCTTCTTATTTTAATCCAATTTTGCTTATTTTAATCCATTTTGGTATTAAAATAAGCAAAATTGGATTAAAATAAGAAGCGTTGCAGCTTATTTTAATGCCTTTTAATTTTCTGTGATTTTTCTACCAGAAAAAAAGGAATAAAAAAATAAAGAATAAAAATAAAAAAGTTAATAATAATAAAGAATAAAAGTAAAAAAAGGAATAAAAATAAACACTAGAATTGTAGAATAGTAAATTTAAATTTCTTTCTTTATTTTTTTTTTTTTTTTGGTAACACAATAATCATGTAACCAACTAACTTTCGAAACATACTTCCAAGTAAGTTTTTAACCAGACATGAATTAAACCGAAAGCTATAAGAGAAGCGAACAAAAGTTTTTGCAAACAAATTCCTCGAATTTGTATATATATGTAAAACTTGTGTAAAATCATTCTGTAGATGTAGAGTTATTTACTTCCGCATGCTGAATTTAGTTCGTTTAACAAGAATTCATTTTCTTCAATTTTAATTTCAAACTATAACATCAAAATTTCATTATTCTTTTTCCATTTTCTTGAAATATGTTTCTCAAGTGAAAAAATAACATATTTGTTTTTATATAATGTAAAAAGCTCGTATATGAAAAGTTTGTAAAATTGTGTAATTTTCTTTTTTTTTTTTTTTTTTTTTGGAAACATTGGAGAAGCTCTGAGTAAGAAATATTACGTGCGCCAACAATGTTTTTCGCTTCACAAACTCTCTGATCTAATTATTTTATATATATACAATAAAATGACGTGATCTATTTTCAGAGTTTTAAATAATTGTCAAAAAAACTTTCGAAATTCAATTAAATTCTCCAATCCACTAAAAGATTTTCAATTTCTTTTTTTATTAATTAAAATTATCTCTTCCATTAGTTTTTATTTCCACTCGGTATATTTTTTTTTCAATTTCGGTTTAAATAAAAATTCAATACAAAAATTAGCTTTATTAAAAAATTTCTTTCTGCTAAATAAAAATGTTGACTTTTTTTTTCTAATTTCTAAAAAAAAGTGAAAAATTAAATTTCGTTTAAAAAAAATAAAAATATATTTTTCAAGTGGAACATCGCGTTTATTTTGCTCAAGTGATCAAAAAAGCCTTTGAAATTGGTCAGGCTTAAACGAAATCACGAGTTGCCGGAGATCAGTTAAGAGCACTTTGTTCCTGAGGGAAAATAAACTTCCCTCAGGCAAAGTCTTCTTCCTCGGAATACACCTCTCCCCCACCCCTCCCCTCGTTTCTCACAGACGACTTGAAGAGGCTGATCATGAGTAAGCAAAGGGTCGAGGAAGCGTTAAATGTCATTTAAAATCTGCCCTACTCCACTTGTGAGCTCAATTTGCTTTTCTCGTCAGGAAAATTGCTCTCGACAAACACTCAAGAATCTATATATCCAGTTTCGTTTTCTTTCATAATAAACATTTTATTGAATCTTCATTATTATTTTCCCGTCTTTTCGCTAGCGATCAGCGAAGGCTATTTTTATTTCATTCAAAAAAAAAAAAAAAAAAAAAAATTATAAATTAAAATTTCATTAAAATTTCCCAATCAAAAATTTATTAATGGCGCAGTACTTTAAAAAAAAAAAAAAATTAATAAAATAATAAATAGAAATTAAATATCACAATATTATTATCGTTCATATAGTGTAAAGTGTAAATTTTACAAAATTTGATTGAAAAAACAATCATTGAATTGTATTTACAATGAAATGAGAAGCCTTGCTGAAGCCAATGAGCACGTCGAAGGAAACGATTATTTCACCATTGTTACCATCATCCGATTTGCATGAATTGAGGACACAAAGTTTGTTTGTATTATTCTTGAACACTTGTTTATATAATCGCATTAATAAGGATTATAATCAACTGTACGTAAGAGCAAATTAGATTATATAATCGTCAACTAACAACAGCTTCAATTTTCAATGCTATTCGAATAATCGAATATAAGTTTGAAAAAAAAAAATTTCTTCATTTTCCATTTTAAATGGCAAATAATTTAAAATAAATTTATTGTAAACTAAGAAATAAAATTAATTATAAACTAATAAAAAAAATTTATATACATATAAATTTCATTAAATTTTGTTTCTATTTTAAAAATATTTTTTATCATTTTCAAATATTAGCGCGCTTTGCACATAAATATCAAACTTCTACCGCTTGTTCATAGATGGCGAAAGTTTCTCTCTCACTAGCGAGATATTTATTTCACTTAATATAAGCAGAAAATTTTCTTAACGAAAATAATCAAAAATTAATTAGCTTTTAATTTATAAAAGAAAAATCTTTAACTTGAACAGCGATATGTTTATTTAGAATAGCGAAAACTTTAGCTGTTTTAGTGAAAAAATATCGTTGTTTCAATAAAACTTATCGCTGTTCCAGATAAAGATTTTTTCCGTCCTAAAATTAAAATAATAAATTAAATTAATAAAATCACTCTTTTTTGATAAAAGTATTTTTTTTCCTGAATCTTCATTATTAAGGAAGATAAATTTACAGAAAATTTTTTAAAAATTCACGACGAATCAAGTTGAAAGATTTATTAGTTGAGAAAGGAAGCTCAAAGGTAAAATCACTGTCAGACATCAAACCACAACTACGAATGAACGCGATCCCCTTTATGATATATTTATATATCATGAATGTGTCTGTGAGTGTGAAAACTTGCCAGGCGAGAAGCATCAAGGTAAACTTTGAAGAAAAGTTAGTGCCTATGCGCTTGTGGATAGCCGCTGAACCGGAAGAAGTTTCAATGAAAAATACTATGAAGAAGTCAAGGTGCCTTTGAAAAGCGATTGTACCACTAACTTCAAAAACTTTGGGGTTCACGTCTTGTTTCTTTTTTTTTTTCTTGCATCAAAACTAACTTCTTCAAGACAAGTCTTCGTCTTTACAAACGATAAATTGGAAATATAAAATAACTTTCAAGAAAATCAGAAATGATCTTACAAAACTTATGAAAAAAAAAATCTCTATTTTGAAATATTAAAAAATAGAAATTTAATTATAATATTATATGGAATAAATATTTTTCTCAAATATTCAAATATAAATGCATTTACGATTTAATTTTGCGAATTTTTGCAATAAGAAAAAAAGTTGAACGCTATTTTAATAAATAGGAGAATAATTTACATAAAGTTTGAAAAGAAAGTTGGAGTATTTTTTTCTTTAATTTTCTGAAGAGCTTGCAAATTTCCTTTATCTTTGTTCTGATCGTTGAATATGTAGTTAGAGGAACGTGATATTCAATGAAATATCTGGTGTACTAATTTCCCTTCTTGTTTTAACGACAGTTTGCGTATTGCACAATTTCCAAGTGTTCATTATCTGTAAAATAGTTGCAACAATTTACTTCTATTTGCAATAAAAGCCATTGGATAAGTAAACAATTTAAGAGAATTAACCAACAATTTAATATATACAATTTAATTTAGAATTTATAGAAATTATTTGAAAAAATTTAAAAAAAAAATGTTACCAATTTTGTTGATTGTAATTTTAAATATTTATATTTGATATTAGAAAAATTTAAAGAAATATTAATATTTAATATTAATATTAAAATTTTATAATTATTATTTGCAATATTTAATTTTCCAGAATATTAATTTTTCATTAAATTTTTAGAATTGTAATTTTTTTGTGCGGAAAATGTTTTGCGGTAATAATACTTGTTTCTAGCACATGTTTGAATGCATTTTAAGGAAGCTTGTGGTGAGTTTCCGTTTCTCTCATTACTTTTTTTTTTTGGTTCTTTATAGCGTGTGGAGATTAGCGAAAAAGGAAACGGAAGTTGAAGAGGATTAATGGCGACACGTTAATTTTTTTTCTTTATTCTTTTTTTTTTGTTTCAGATGACATAGAATGGGTTGGGTGGCGCTAGGGCGGCGTGCGGGTGGTGGCGGCCGCCTCGCACCAATCCTCTCGCTGTCTCTCGCCTCCCTTGCAAGTTCCCTTGTCTTCAGCACTTTTTGCATCCTTACACTTGCCCTCACTCTCGCCAGCCTCGTCAGTGCTGACGACATGTAAGCATACTTTTTTTTTCTAATTCAATTTCAATTTCAATAATTGTACAAATTTTTTTTTGTTTGACGCAGTATAACTGACGTTTACTCCTGTTACTGAAAAATTTAAATATATTAAACTGGTCTGACTAAAACTGATTTTTACTACTTAAAAACAAAGTTGACAATAAATATATAAGAAATTTTTTTCATTAAAACTGTTTTTTACTACCGATAATTGAAAAAAATTTTAGTCTTTTTTTTACTACTGATACTGAAAATTGTAAAATTGGTCTGACTAAAAATGATTTTTACTACTTGGAAACAAAATTAACAATAATTTTGAATAATATTTTTTTGTTCAAACTGTTTTTTTACTACAGATAGTTTGCAAAAAATTTTAGTCCGACAGTAACTGATATTAATTACTCATACTGAAAATTGTAAAATTGGTCTGACTAAAACTGATTTTTACTACTTGAAAACAAAATTAATAATTGTGAATAATATTTTTTATTCAAACTGTTTTTTTACTACAGATAATTGCAAAAAAATTTAGTTTGACAGTAACGGACATTTAGTACCTACTGATACTAAAAATTGTAAAATTGGTCTGACTAAAACTGATTTTTACTACTAAAAACAGAATTAATAATTTTAAATAATATTTTTTATTCAAACTGTTTTTTTTACAACAGATAATTGCAAAAAAATTTAGTCTGACAGTAACGGACATTTAGTACTGATACTAAAAATTGTAAAATTGGTCTGACTAAAACTGATTTTTACTACTTGAAAACAAAATTGACAAAAATTTTTAACAATATTTTTCATTAAAACTGTTTTTTACTACCGATAATTGAAAAACATTTTTAGTCTTTTTTTTACTACTGATACTGAAAATTGTAAAATTGGTCTGACTAAAACTGATTTTTACTACTAAAAAACAAAATTAATAATTTTAAATAATATTTTTTATTCAAACTGTTTTTTTAAACAGATAATTGCAAAAAAATTTAGTTTGACAGTAACGGACATTTAGTACTGATACTAAAAATTGTTAAATTGGTCTGACTAAAAATGATTTTTACTACTTGAAAACAAAATTAATAATTTTGAATAATATTTTTTATTCAAACTGTTTTTTTACAACAGATAATTGCAAAAAAATTTAGTTTGACAGTAACGGACATTTAGTACTGATACTAAAAATTGTAAAATTGGTCTGACTAAAAATGTTTTTTACTACTTGGAACCAAAATTAACAATAATTTTACACAATATTTTTCATTGAAACTCTTTTTTTACTACTGATAATATTAGATAAATATTTGTCTGACGGTAAATGACTTCTACTACTGTTAAAAAAAATTGTCTGACTATAACTGACCTTTACTACTTACTCCTATTTTACAAATAATGTTTGCTTTTTTAAAAAGCTACAAAACTTAAAAGAGAAAAAAAAATTATGTCTGACCATAACTGACCTACACTACTAACATTGAAATTAGAAAAAACTTTTTACATATTAAAATTGAATTTTACTAATATTAGATAATACCTAAAATAAAATTTCATAATAATTTTCGATTACTTTTTTAAATTTTTTTTTGAAAAATGATAAATTTTTTTAAATTAAGTTTTTATTAATTTTAAATTGCATTAAATTTTGAATTCATATAATATTGATAAAATGATTTCGCGTATACAAAAGGCGTTATATTCCTGTAAAGTTTAACGATTCATTGGTGTTATATAAAATCGATATACAAAAGAGACTCTTGGGTTTATTGTGATTGATAGCGAAATTACTATTCATTGTTAATAAACATTTGCGTCGATGAAAAAAAAAAATTAATACTAACTTATATTGTCAATTTTGTACTTTTAATTAAATTAATAAGCTCTTATTTATTACATTATTTTTTTATATGTAGAAAATTTCGTTTTTTGATAAAAACAATAAACTTTATAAAAATATTACAATAAAACGTTTGTTTGAAAAATATATTTCCCACAAAGAAAAGCTTGAAAATAATTTCATATATTTTACAAAGTTGTACCACTTTTTTTTTCCCCCTCGTTCATTGTTTTATATTGTTTCTATTGTCAGTAAAAGATCAAAAGAAGTTTCTCTAAGAATATACAGACATGAAACTGTATACCTTAGAAAAAGGAGAAACAATAGATTCATTGTTTCATTATTCTTGTGGGTAATTTCGTCTATATTTTATTTTAAGGAGAATTTGTTTATAAATTTTGAATATAAAAAAAAAATTATTAAAACCCTTTCGAAAATATATATAGTAATTTAATTTTTATCAATTAAATTAAAAAGAAAAATTCAATTAGTTATAAATAAATTAAATAACAGATTAAAATAAATTCAAAATTCAAAACAAATAATTTGTTATTTAATTATAAAATTCCCTTTTTAAAAGTGGATTTATCAAAAAGATGTCGTAAAATGAAAATTCACTGATTTTACTCGAAATCCTCTCGAGGATAATCCTGAGGATCGATTTGAAAGATCAGTGAAGATACATGTTCTTGTTATGCTATATATATATATGTACATAGACGTACGTTGGATATGTTACAGTTTCGAGGAAGGAAAATCGGACAAGGAGATTCTGGATAACCTGCTGCTGTCGACGCGGTACGACAAACGGCTTCTGCCTCCGGTCCAAGGTACACTGAGGCCCCCGCCCCACACCCGCCACGACGAGTACATCCCCGACCATGAATCCAATGACCCCGACAACCCCGAGCACCTCGAACATCACCGGCACCACTACCACCACACATCACCACACAACTACAGTTCACTGTTCACCCTTCGTCGTAAGGGATGATTTTATACACAACGAGTCTGTGATTAATTATATATATATATTTGATAAATACAAAGTGGATTTTTTGCAAAATTGGAGAATTTTTTTTTTTTTTTTTTTCAAATAATACACACAAAAAAAACGAGTGAACTATGTGACACGGCGAAATATGTTCTGTTAACAGAAGCATCTGGTATGATCTCTTAAAATTATATAAACCAATTTTAAAAACACATCATAATCCAATTTTCGAAACCGTTCTATATAAATAATTGGATTAAATGGAATTCATGTTTTTTATTTTAGAGAGGGATTAGTGAATTTAATTTTTTTCAAATTTTTGTTTGATTTTAGAATTTTTCTGTTTATTGAAATTTCCATTTAATACAATTAATGTGTGACGTTACTTTTATTTAATGGAATTTTCAGTGAAAAAAAAATTTTATTTGAACAAATTTTAATTTTGAAAAAACTTTATTCAAGGAGATTATAAAAATTTTAATCAATTTGTCTGACTGCGACTGTATTTTACTACTGAGAATTTAATTTACCAGAGTTGGAAAACTACTTGTCTGATTGAAACTATTTTATACTACTGTAACAAAATTTCGTAACAATTTGTCTCACTGTAACTGTCTTTTACTATTGAGAAATTAATTTACAAGAATTGAAAATTACTTGTCTGACTAAAATTATTTTCTACTACTCAAGGAAAATCTGACTAAACGATACTTAGACTATTAATAATAAATTAGCGCGATTTGTCTGACTGATATAATTTTTACTACTGAACTTTATTTCTACATTAATTTTAGAAAATATTTGTCTGCTACAGTGTATTACTACTAATCTGTAATATATGTAAACATTTTTTTTTGTCTGACTATAACAAACTTTTACTACGGACAAAATACGTTATAAAAAATTGGAAATAATTATGTCTGATAAAAACTGTTATTTACTACAAATTTACACTAATTTTGTTTTTTTTGACTAAAACTGATTTTACTACTGACAGTAAAACTATAAAAAAAGAGATTTGTCTGACTAAAACTGTATTTTACTACTGATACAGAAAAAGAGTAGAAATAGGTCTGACTAAAACTCGCTTTTACTACTGATAGTGGAATTATAGTAAAAAATACATTTGTCTGACTAAAACTGTATTTTACTACTGATACAGAAAAGAGAGTAGAAGTAGGTCTGACTAAAACTCGCTTTTACTACTGATAGTGGAATTTTAGTACAAAAGACATTTGTCTGACTAAAACTGTATTTTACTACTGCTATAGAAAAAAAACTATAAACATGTCTGACTAAAAATGGCTTTTACTACTAATAGTATATATTTTACAAAAAACGTAAATCGTCTGACTAAATTTCTCTTTTACTACTAAGACAAAATTGTCTAACTAAATTTCGCTTTTACTACTGTAAAAATGACGTTTTAATTTTTCATTTAATCGCGTTTTCATTAAAAAAAAAAGAATTATTAAATTAAACTTTTAAATAATAGAAGAAGTGCAAAAAAAAAGTATTCCTATTTAAACTGTTAGCGAAAAGGATCTTGAAAATTTAGTTCTGATTTTATATGAAAGTCTGATTAGTTTGTCCTCATTCTAGAGAAGCTTCTGTTTATTTAATGCGTCTGACTAAAGCTTGACAACAATCACTGCACACCGGCTTCTGACACACAAGTGGGCATTGTCTGCAGTACTATATTTATATTATCTCAGAAGACCAAGAGTCCTCTTTCCGATTATAGTCGCTAACTTAAAAAAGTTCAACAAGATACTTCACAAATAATTATTAACAAACAACAATTTATATTATGTAATTTATTCTATATATATTATTTTTATATTTTTTTATTCCAACTGTAGGTCTAATATTAGTTTCCCTCTTTTTTTCCATTGTACTTTTTAAATTTATTATTACTGTAATTTTTATTTAAAAATTAATTATGTTTAAAAAAAATTTTCCAACTATTGTTATTAGAAGTTAAAAAAAATTAATTTTCAATATTTATTTATTATTGTAAAATTTCGCCGTATCACTAGTCACTTGTTTTTAAAGCTTTGCTGAGCAAAGCTTATCGCGAGATATATTGAAAACGGGCAATGCTGCAACAAAAAAAAAAAAAGCCTGCTAACAGCTTTGCAGCTATATAACAAGCGTAGAAAATCTACACGAGTAATTTTTATAGTCGCCACGATTAAGCTTTAAAATTTCTTCATGGAGCACTCTTACCCTCATCATAAAAAGAAAAATGTTTTATTGTAAAAAAAAACATTCTTAAAATTCATTTTTCTCTATTAAAAATTTTTAATCTATTTTCCAATAATAAAAAAAGGGGCAAATAAGAATAAAATATTTAAATTGCTTTTGTTTTGAAAAAAATAGATTTGATATTATAATTTTTTTAAAATACTTTTTTTACGTCATTTTCTATAAAATTTTGATTTGTTGACTTATAAATTTTTCAGTTATATTAAACACTGTTCCCTCGACCAAAAGAGAGGGACAGAATCTCATCTGCATTAAAATCCAATCAGAGCTAGAAGCATTGCCGAATCACACTCGATTTTAGAATCGTAATTGAATGCACTCGGCTGCTCCACTTTAGTTTATTATTCTTAAAATAAAAAAAAAATTTCCTCAAACAGAAGGGTAGGAGTGCTTTGTACAACGAGGGGACCACAAACGAGTAAAAATTGAAAGAGAGAAAAAAAAAATTTTTTTTCTGAGAGAGGAGGATATCGTGTTCATCTTTATGAAAAAAGACACACGCTTTTTTTTCCCCCCTTTTAATATAATATTGTAATATATATAGTACAAGTAGATAAGTGGATTCAGTGCGGAGGTTACATGATTTTTTCTTTTTATTATTATTATGAGAATTCTAAGAATTGTCATCACAAAGATAAGAGACAAAAAAAGAAGGAAAAAATAGATTAGCAATTAGTGGAACTTTCTTATAATATACAAAATTATGTTCTAAAAAAAAAAAAAATTTTTTTTTGAATTTCATTGTTTAAAATGAACATTCTTTGTCACAGGAATTTTCTCATCATGTCAAATTATAATAATCGATAGGCAAAAATTTTCCAACAAAGTTTTTAATTAACTTCAAATGAGTTGTTTAACTTTCAGCTATACGCGTTTAATAATAAGAATTTTACATTAAAAAAAAATATATAATTTAAAAAATTTTAATTTAAAAAATTTAATTTTTATAATTTAAATTTTATAAATTTTTTTTTTTTATAAATTTTTATACTTTTATATAGTAGATTAAATTCGTTTAATTGACCTAATTTTTTTTTTCGTAGGAACATGTCAAATATTTTTTTTTTCTATATACTGAGTAAAGGCGGCAAAATGAATTAAATCTCTCGACCTGTACGTTAAGTTTTTAGTGCCTGGGGATGAAATAACAAAAGGCAGCCAAATATATATACGAAGAAAGGATTCTTGAGAATAATAAGAAAAAGTGGTTCAGTGGATAAACCGAGTTAGTTCGAAAGGGGGCGGGGGAGGAGTGAATTGCATAATACAAAATTCATTACGCGTAATGGAACGAGACTAAACTTTTTTAGAATAAAAAATCTTTTTTTCCAAATTATTTTTAAATAAGCAAAATCAGAAAATACAATTATTATTATGAATTTTATTTCATTGAAAACTTTTTATTCGAAAATATTAAAAAAAAAAAAATAGTTTTACTATTTAAAAAAAAAATTTTTATTTTATTTCGAATTTTGTTTTATATATAGAATTTTTTAGAATACCATGGGAAAAATGAATTTTTTATCTTTTTCAAATCCAATCAGTTTTTTTTTTAGAATGGTATTGTCCTTTGACAATGAGAATTAAATCAGATTGAGAATGAGAGTAAACTGAATATTTTAAATAAAGATTCGTGAAATCCTCTTCTCTCATATATAGCGAATCAATGCTTCGCACGTGTTTGAACAGTTCGAGCTGAGATTGAAAATACATATATATATATATATATATTGTACATACCTCACAATAGCATGAGGGAAACTATTTAAAAAAAAAAAAAAAAAAAAAATTTTTTTATCACAATTGAAATACCATTAACTGACTCACTCAATTTCAGACAATTTTTTCTCATATTTATAATCATTTTCTAATTACTAACATGTGTTTCTAAATAAAAATTAGATGATAAAAGATAAAATTTATAAATAAAAAAAAATTATTCAAAACATGTAATTTATTTCAAAAAAATGTCATTTTTTTCCAAACAATGTAATTTGTTTTAATAAATAAAATTTTATTTTTATTTATAAAATTTAATTGCAAAGAATTAAAAAAAAGGGAAATTTAATTTTTATTTAGAAATACTTTATAAAAATCACAAATATTATTCTTTCTCTTTATAGTAAATTCAATGTAGAAATTGTTTTCTATACACTAATGAGATTGATTCATTATATATAAGACACATTTGATTTTAAAATTGTCCAATTAACACAAATATATATTTAAATCATTTGTCTATGACTGAAAATTATATAAAGATAATAATCGCCTTAAATGCATAAGCTACTTTCAGTATTTTGTAATTTTTTTAAAATATTTTTAAAAAAAATATATAAATAATTAATTATTGTATAAAACATGCAATAAGTAGAAAAATGTTCTTTTTTTGTATTTAAAGAATTTTAAATAATTAATTATTATTATAAAAAATAATAAAATACAAAATAAGAAGATAAATTATTATTAATAGAAAATAATTAAAAAATTAAATACAAATTTTATACTACAGATAATTAATGCAGTAAAAAAATTAATTAACGTTTTTTTCTCCTTTTTTTTTGCAACGAAAAAAAACTGAAGAAAGCTTACGTATTGAGGGAAAAATAAGAGGGTGTATTTTTTAATGACAAAACAGGTGCAAAAAGGTAGTGGTCAGGTGATATAATTAATTATTAAAAAAAAAATCAAAAAAAAAAAAAAAAAAAAGTGGGTATTGCA